AAAAACAAAAGGGGGGAGAGATCTTGGCTCCAGGTGAACCATTCGCTCTGCTGTAAAACGCATGCATGTTTTCTACCAGAATGCCAGAGCAATACAAAACCAGTTTTCTTTATCAAGGCATTCAGCTAAAGACATCACTGCAATTTGCCCTGAATACCAGAAAGACTCCATCTCTTCAAACCTTTTAAACATCTCCCCTGTCTCACAGGTGTCACCAATATTGTGTTGTTTTTCATCACAGATACCAGATCAACAAGAAGTCCAGAGCAAAGCTCAAGTGTTGACAAAACCTAGAAAGGGGTAACTGGGAAGGACCATTTCCTTTAATAACCTGGGGAAGAGGTTATGCTTGTGTCTCCACAGGTCTCATCTCCAGTGGTCACCGGCAAGGTGTGTGCAACCACACCTGAGGCGTGAGAAGCAGCCAGCACTCAGGATCCAGCTGTGGGTGCTGTGGGTTCCCCTGTGCTGACAGTTTGTGATCTCTTCGACTGATCATTCAAGCAGAATGTCTGAGTAATATTTGCTACTGCAACAGAACAAACTACACTACAGTTGCCAATTCTTTTAAGAGAAAATGCCAACAGTAATTGTAACTCCTTAATGACATATATAAGCTTACTAGTCACCAAATGCAAGATGTACTTTAGATGAAATATAGTTATTAATAAGGATAAGATTCTATAAGAATGTGTGTATTCCACTTTCTTTGTTTAGTAATATTAAGAACTAAGAGCTCAAGTATTTAACCTTATTTAGAAACTCCCTTGGTTTCCCCCCTGGAGTACTGGCCAGGCTCCAGGTGGAACCCAACAGGAGGATGAAATCAGATGCTTCGGCTCAAAGAGTTGCCAGTTATTTTTGCCTATTGATTTAAAGGCTGGACCTGCTTGCAGGGACTTTGGATGCCTCACCTACAGATGGACGCATCACGTAGGGTTTCCAGTTTGTGCGGAAGGGCACTCTAAAGTCTCGCTGTATACAGGGTTCCCTAGCAATTGCGGATCTGAATGTTAATACTTCTATTAATTAAGTGTGCTATTTCGTACTTTCCTTACTGTTTATTTTGTAGTATTTAGTCATATCCCTTGAATATGGGAAATATGAGATCCTTTGTACTTAATAGGGTACGTTTAACAGTTTATTGTGGTGATTAGGAATAGTATTATTGATTGTAGTAAGTATTAAAATAGCATATCATTGTATAATGATAAATATTAGTGAATTTATGTTTGTGCATCCTGCACAAAAAGAAAAAGGGGGAATTGTTGGAGAACGGCTTGCAGAGAGCAAGGCCATGGGTATCTGCAGAAGCTGATTGCAGCCATCTGAGGTAAACAAAGGAAAAAACCCAGGGTACAGTTATGCTAACAAAGGACTGTTATGTTAACAAAGAGAGAAACTGAGGTACATTATGACCTTGGGGGTGATACAAAAACAGCCCTGGGAGAAAAACAGGTTCAGAAGAGGGAAGGTGTTTATGCATACCTGAAACGCCACAAGGGGCTGGAATATTATAATGTAGCCTTTTACATGTATCCAATAGATTTGGGAGTAGTGTGCATGATTATTGTAGAGTGCTTATACAAGGTGTGATTTCTTTCAATAAAGTTGAAGCTTGCTCTATCATTCACATTGAATTGACTTCTTGCTTCCTCCGCCTGCCGCAAAAATATCCCTTATATTCTCTTTCCGATAATCCGGTCCCTACAGGTCCCCTACATTCTGGACCACACAGGATACTGCAGAGCAAAGACATTAGTTTGTGAGAGCAGGAGACCTTTAGGAGAGTGGCCTGAGCAGGGATCTCCTTAAAGTGATTATTCTGCTTGTAGAGACAATTCAGAGAACAGATGTGCTCCTAGGGATCCCCCTTAGCACTTTCCTTCTCTGACACATACCTCTATGACAGCATTGCTTGCTGCCAAAACATACTGACATAATGATTTTCTGATTTACTTAATCATTTTTGTGTGACAAGCCATGATGATTGCCTCTCACAATTGAACAGCATGAAGTTCTCCACTGAGCACGTTTTCCCATCTTCAGTGGAACAGGTACACTACTACATGAGAGTAGTGTACCTGTTCAGTTGTCCAGCTGACCATCCAACTGGGCTTTGTATGGTTATGTGTGGAAGAAGGGCGAGGAGATAGGTGATGGAGGTCAATATAGCTATTTCCCAGATTCTTTATAATAAATCCCTTTATGCTTTCTTAAGGAAGTGGAGATATCTATTTCACATTGTAGCATATAATTGCTTATGTTGTCCTTGGCTGGGTTTCCCTGTATGTGTCCACCTTCAGGACTACCCACTGGACATCACATCAACTTGGTGTCTTGGACCTCCTCGCTTGGCTGCTTATCTCACTTGGGGACTTGTTGAGGAAATCCTGCTGGGATGCTGAGGTAATAAAATCCTTTAGATCATCTTTGCATGTATTGTGTTTGTGTATCCAACCCTACTTGGGGCTGGTAAGGTGTCACCACCGGCAGAGGCCAGTTGGTGGCACCAGCGGGATCTGACATGCTTCTGTCCACCTTTACTAACCGGCATTACTGTGATGTAATAGCCTGAAGAAAGAATTTCCTTCGGTCTTTGCATGAGATTCCTTGAACTTTAGCTGGAATTACTTAGGACTATATGTGAAGTTGGCCAGGACTTGGCCTGTGTTGAGAACAGGTCATGGAGCAGAAGGGCATGCACATAGGGAAAGAGGGTGTGTGCTTAGCTAGGAAGAGAGATACTTTTTGCCACCTTAGAAAGTTTCCATTGCAATGCAGAAATCTGCCAGTGTTGGCCCTGGTCATCTTCCAGCTTACTTCGCCCTTATCATATTCTTCAGTATCCAACTGGACTGTCTTTGCCTTGTATTTACCATTAGATTTTGGGTCAGCAAGGTTACTGAAGATGGTCAGTACAGTTTCTCAAATATGAGGTTCCCAGCATTGTCAGTCAGAATCATAGAATATCTCATACCGGAAGAGACCCATTAGGATCAGAGTCCAATTTCCTGCTCCTTGCAGGACTACTTAAATCATATGACTAAGAGTGTCATCCAGACATTCCTTGAACTCTGACAGTCTTGGTGCTGTGACAACTCCCCTGGGGAGCCTTTTCCAGTGATTGACCACCCTTGCAGTGAAGAACTTTTTGCTTTGTCCAATCTGAACTTCCCCTGATGCAGCTTCATTCCATTTCCTCATGTCATTGTACTTGGGGATTGTCATTGTATTTGAGGATCTTGATAAGGAGTATTTCTTGTAGTGTTCTTGACCATAGGGACCCTCCTAAGATTTAGACCTGTAAAGATTAGTGTGGGTGCATGACTGATCTCCTTAACTGCCAGATGAGGAAAGCGGTATTCTGTACCATCTTCTCCTAGGGCTGCTGCATACAATACTGGCTGGTTGGACTTGACCACTCAGGAAAGACTTGTTCTATATTCCTCTCATTTCCACAGGACATCTTTCTTCAGGGACTCCTTCTGTTACAGGACTTCCTTGTCTTGGTCCTGCTCCTCCAGGAGAGGCAGATACTCTTTCATCCCTCTTGATGTCCAAGCACAGACAAATCATCTGTTCTGTCAGAATGTGGAGAATATAGAAAGACCTGACAAGCATGTTTACTTTTCACAGAGACTGTTTTGCAGGTCTTTCTACAGCAAGCATGCATGCAGTGTATAAGTGAAAAGAAGCAGTAAGATGACATAAACTCTTCAATGAGAATACAATAGGTGAATCTTACCCAGAACATGTATTTCTCTTATGAAACATTTGATTTCTAGAGAAGACAGTTTTAAAATATAAGTACATCAACAAAAGTAAAAGATCTCCACTGTTGATAGCTGCTGCATCTCTTACATTCTAACTTTTATGTCCATCAAGTTTTATGGTAAAAAGTTTCCTTACTATATAAAAAGGTGATTTAAGTAGACTTTGTGTATCCTTTCTTTTAAACTGAATCAACCCATTATCACTTAGGAGGTGATTATGTTGCACTTAAATATTTGCTTCTAATACAGCTACTTAGCTTGCTGGAGATATACAAAACCCCACAATCATTTTTTATCTTCAGTCTGTATTAGGGAAGTCAACATGAGAATATAATTTACAGAATTATTTCTCATTTTTATGATACAGAAATAACTATCCATGTTCAAAACCAACCTCTGGTAAGTGTAGCAGACTTTTCTGATATGTACTAATACTTAGTAGAAACTTCTATCATTCTTGAAAGTGATTTTCACTTATTCTTTTTATCTATGACATCACTACTTTACATTATATTGTATCTATACTGGAAAAACAAACAAACAAACCAACCCCACACCAAACCACTCCATCACCTTTATATGTCTTAATATATACTCAATTATCTTTCAGTTGTCCATAAAATGCTTTGGTTTATCCATGCTCAGGAGTATGCAGCCTTACCTATTTTTTCTTCCCTAGTCTTTTAACTCTGGATTCTTGTCATTCACCCCATCTGTGAACTGGCTATCATTTTGTGCTATGTATGAAATAAAACAGCTTCAGAGAAAGAGAGTGATGATATCTCTTTGTGCCACTACCTCACCATGTTGGCTTGACTGCTTGTCAATGCTTGGAGTGAATGTCAGTCTCCTAAATCAAAGTAGAAATTTGAGTTTCTCACACACTTAAGTCTAATCAAATAAGCAATATTTTTCAGTTAATAAAAATACTATACATTTGTTTCTAAATGCTTCAGGAAGCTTTTTCTTTTCATTTCTTTTTCTCCTTAAGAATTCAGCAGAATAACTTGGAAGAATGTAGTCTTAGTCTATCAAAGAAATGCATACTTCTCATTGAAGGTGAATAGTGAATCCCTATAATTGTTATTATTCCTCATGCATTTTTAAAATTGTAAATGAAAAAATGTATTACTGTTCAATATATTTTTTAATGTGTACATGTACTCCAAATGTAATGAATACTAGAATGAATAAATAAAGCACGCTAATCACTGTTCCTATGCAGAGATCTCTACTGTATTTATTACCTAGACATAAATTATAATTACAGAAGAAAGCAACTCAGAGATTTACATTTTATGCATGCCTCAGGTCACTTTTTAGCCTTGAGATCCTCATTCCTCCTCTTCTACCTTCTTATGAAACTCCCGGCTCTTTGCTCGGAGCTTGTTGACCTGGGACTCTGCAATGTCAGCCCGCTCCTCGGCTTCCTCCAGCTCGTGCTGGATCTTGCGGAATTTGGAGAGGTTGACATTGGACAGCTCCTCCTGTGAGGGGATAAGGAGTTGTGAAAACAATAGGCAGCATGTGGACAATTAATATCTGAAAGCTGGGCAAACAGAAATTTAAACAGCACAGCTGAGCAAGGAAAGCAGGTTTAAAACCAAGGTTAAAAGCTGCTCAGAGCATTAAGTGTGCCAGAAGAGAAAAGAGCATCGGCCTGTTGAAAAGGCCATGGCCATATAACACACAGCATGGACTAGGCAGAGTGCAAGGCAGAGTGCTGAACAGACTAGCAGGTGCTTCTGACACCCAGGGCAGGGCAAAGAAGAAGAAACTAGAGGTGGGGAGTGAGTCTTAGAGAAAATAGAGATAAGGAAGTGTAGTTTCTTCCCAAACCAGCAATTCTTACTTTTACATTCCCATTGTCTTACAGCAGAAGATTCATCAAAAAAGTCAAGGTTTCAAAAAAATGGACAAAAGAAAGTACCAACAGAGAATTCTACCTCCACCATAAGGAAGACTGGCCTTGGTCAGAGTGGTACTTACAGCCTCCTCCGCTTGCCTCTTGTAGGATTTCACCTTCATTTGCAGCTTGTCCACCAGGTCCTGGAGCCTGAGATTATTCTTCCGGTCTTCCTCGGACTACAGACAATGCAAAGTAACAGAAAACTTTGTTTGCCTGTTTCTCTAGATTTCATAAATGTGAAACAGATGAAGTAACATTCCTCATGGAGCATTACTGTCAAGAAAGACAGAATGCAGAATCCTGTTAACTGTGTCACTGAATAAGGTATAGAAATCCCTTCAGAAGAAAATGTGCCAACTTCTTGACTTTCTGGAAGAAGAATGTGTCAACATAAAGAAGCTTCCTGCCTTACCTGGTAGGTCAGCTCCTTCACCCTCCTCTCGTACTTGCGCACGCCCTTCACAGCTTCAGCGCTGCGCTTCTGCTCAGCGTCAACCTCCGCTTCCAGCTCCCTCACCTGCAATGAGAAGCCCGGCTTTGGAGCTTCCGTGCTGCTTATTTGCATGACACGTTCTCTCACGCACAACTCAAAGCCCTACGCACTCTGGCCTCCAGCTTCTGGATTTGCTTCTTGCCTCCCTTCAGTGCCAACTGCTCGGCCTCATCCAGACGGTGCTGCAGGTCCTTCACCGTCTGGTCCAGGTTCTTCTTCATCCTCTCCAGGTGGGCACTGGTGTCCTGCTCCTTCTTCAGCTCTTCGGCCATCATGGCTGCCTGAAGGGAGCAAAGGGTGAAAGCCATTTTGGGGTTGGAGACATTTTGGGGAGAACACATCCTCCAGTAGCAGTGAAAGGAGCCCCCAGCTCACATCTGTGATGGCCTTCTTGGCCTTCTCTTCAGCATTGCGGGCTTCCTGGATCGTATCCTCCATTTCACCCTGAATTTGCACAATGTCTGTTTCCAGCTTCTTCTTGGTGTTGATCAAGCTGGTGTTCTGTTGAACAACAAATAATATCATCCAGTTAGTTCCAAAACAGAACCCTTAAAAACTTTTAGAAATTTACTGTTTAATTTTAAACTTATCATTGATATAGCTATTATAATCATCCTCGTTCAAATGATGCATTTTGTCAAGTCATACTTGGTGAGATAGCAAAGAGTGCATAAAATTTTACGAAGCACGTCTGTCTCCTGTTAATGGTATCCTACTCATTTAGCCATAATCCAGTTCTTTGTACAAGAGTAATAAATCTGGTTCAGTTTAAGATTTTTATGGTAAGACATTATTTCACAATTTACACAGATGAACAATTTGGAAAGGGAAAAAGAAAACGGTACTTGAAACTTTGAATCTCATAAATCTAACCTGAGTGTGGAGGAGCTGAACTCTCTCAGTCGCATCCATCAGTTCCTGCTCAGCCACTTTCCTCGAGCGCTCCGTCTGCTCCAGGGCTGCCCGTAGCTCCTCAATTTCAGCCTGCAGCAGGTTTGCTCTGCGCTCCACCATGGCCACCTGCTCTTTCAGGTCCTCCTGTGTCCTGAGAGCGTCGTCCAAGTGTATCTGGGTATCCTGGAAAGAGAGACAAGGCAGATTGTGTAGTGTATTTTACCTTTTTTCTTATTTCCTATTTTCACATCAGTATAGAACAGGAAAATTTTGAGCTGTGTCAGATACCAGTTAGCACATGTTTAATTGTGCGATACCTTGAGCACTGCCTGCGTGTTTCTCAGATTCTTCTGTGCCTCTGCAGCCACGCGGTTGGCATGGCTCAGCTGGATCTCCATTTCATTCAGGTCTCCCTCCATCTTCTTCTTCAGCCGCAGGGCTTCGTTCCTGCTCCTGATCTCAGCATCCAGGGTGCTCTGCATGGACTCCACGATTCTGAGGTGGTTTCTCTTCATCTGGTCAATCTCCTCATCTTTCTCTGCGATCTTCCTGTCAATCTCAGATTTCACCTGGTTGAGCTCAAGCTGGAGGCGCAGGATCTTGCCCTCTTCATGTTCCAGGGAGGCCTGGACAAGTGAGCAGGAACAGTGACTCAAACTACTACTTCCTTTCTACCTAGTCTCGTGAAATCTGGGCTCGCTTTCCTGCCATGTGTGCAAATAAATACTATCATACTTTCAGTCTGGACACCATTTCCTAGCACATACCTCAGCTTCCTCCAGGGAGGCTTGCAGTTCAGATTTCTCCTGCTCAATCTGCTTCTTGACTTTCTCCAGCTCATGAATCGCCTTTCCTCCCTCTGCAATCTGCTCCGTGAGGTCGGAAATCTCCTCTGCAAGGAAGGGTGAAAAGTGGCACGGTCAGGCTCAGAGCTGAAGCGGAAGGGCCCAGCCACACCAAGGTGACAAGTATCTTTGCAGAGCTGCAGGCGGTAGTGGTGGACAGCAGAAAGCCCTGCCAGGAGCAGAGGGCCAGGCACTTACGCTGCAAGTTCTTGTTCTCCCGCTTCAGCGTTTCCAGGTGGTCCAAGGACTCCTCATAGGCATTCTTCATCTTAAAGAGCTCCGTGCTGAGAGAGCGAGACTCCTTCTGGGAGGCTTCCAGCTCAGCCTGCGTTTCCTCATACTTCTGCTTCCATTCTGCCAGGATCTGAGGAGAAACGGGGCGTCAGTATGCAGGTGGCAGTCAGGAGGACATGCTCTGCCCAGGAGCCCCGGGGCTGGAGCCCAAAGACCTTGTCAAAGTTCTTCTGCTTCTTATCCAGAGCTGCGCAGGCAGCATTAGATCTCTCCACGTCGATCATCAGGTCCTCCACTTCATTCTGCAGCCTCTGCTTGGTCTTTTCCAGGGAGGCACATTTGGCATTCACAGCCTCAACGTGTTCCTCTGCATCCTGCAGGCGCTGTGCCAGCTTCTTCCTGGCAGGAGATAAGCAGAGCTCCGGGTGAGGAATCAAATAGGAGCCTGTGGTGTGCAGCCAGTATGGTTTGCACAAGAGCACACTTAGCCACTAGGTAGGGTGTGATCCCCATTTACACTGCAGTGTAGGATGTCTCCCAGGCAGCCACTGTATTTCTATGTCTAAATCCTGGGCTACAGCAATTCCCTCCCTGCTATTCACACAAGCAACTGTCTGCTGTTCTGTGTCCGAAGAGATTTGTTGCTTCTGCTTTTCCCCAGTGCATACCTGCTCTCGGTTATATTTTCTCTCCTCCTGGCACCCCATCCCAAAGCAGAGCATTGACCTCTTGCTGACAGTGGTATCCTCAAATTTCCATTCTTAGCCTCTGCCAGCCTTCCCCACATTGCCCACATACTTGGCCTCCTCCAGCTCCTCCGTGCGCTGGATAGCATCCGTCTCGTATTTGGTTCTCCACTGGGCCACCTCGCTGTTGGCCTTGGACAGGGCACGCTGCAGCTCCCCCTTGGCTTCCTGCTCCTCCTCGTATTGTTCCCGCAGCAAGTCACAGTCGTGGCGAGCTGACTGCAAGGCGTGGGCCAGGGCGTTCTTGGCCTAGGAGAAAATTGTAGTGTGACAGTGAATGGAAATCTCCTGGGCAATGTCCTGTGTTGATTCACACTGGGTTATTCTGCTGTGAGAATGATGGCAAGGTACTGAGTGAGAAAGGAAGATCTGGCTATCTACAGAAGAATTAATGGATAGACTGCAGGGAAGGGAGAGCAAAGCTAATATGAAAAGACTTTCACTGCCTTACCTAAGTGGTCATTTTCCCCCCTCTCATCTTGTTGATTCTGTGATTTGATGTGTTTCTGATAGAGCCTTCTCACCTTTATCTCTTCCTCTAGGTGCCTCTTGAGTTCTTCAATCTGTTGGGTGAAAGCCTGCTTGCCCCTTGACAGCTGAGAAATCAGAGCATCTTTCTCCTCCACCTGGCGTGAATATTCACCTGGGAAAGC